TCTCAGCTCAGGTCCTGAAGAAACGCCGTCAGTCGTGTGCATCTCTTCACGAGAACTTGACGAATGCTGGACCGGCCTTAAGCCGACACACAGTTCCAGGTGGTGGCAGAGGTCTGGCTGCAGTCCTGCTGTTGTCACAGCATCACGGAGGGCAGCTGGGCTCCTCCCCACGTCGCTCAGGAGCCCTTAAGCTTCCCCTGCTGGAGGGGCGCGTGCCAGTCCGCTGGGGGGGTCTGCCGGAGCTCCCACACGGGCACGAACCCCCTCTGCTGCTCCACTCTGGCTCGCTCGCTGTCCCGCAAGGCCTCCTGTGGTCACAGAGGAAAGTCACTGGTGCACAGAAACAGGGTTCACGCCGTCTAATCGCTGTGCCTCGTGCCCAAACTCCCCAAACCCAATTCTCCCTGCGCCACAACTGGCAGGCGGAGGCCACACGGTCCAAGCAAAGGCTTGATCGGCGAAGAGTTCCTGGTTCAAACCCAGGCGCTGCCACCAGCGCGCTGTGTCACCCTGCTCAAATCATTGAACCTCCTCTGAGCGCAGACCTGAGAGTGAGAAGTGCATTCCGCACCTCGAACCGCAGCGTCTGCCGTTTACACAAAGAGTTGCGGGGGTCTGGAACGCGCTACCCAAGCACGTTGTCGAGGCCGCTATCCAGCCGTTTCTGAAAGGCGCCAGGGTAAGAACCTTGGACCGATTAGCTGCTAACCACCAACACAGCGAGACCTTTCGTAGAAGTAACGTATTAGACTTAACTACTGACTTATTACACAAGCCCTTTCTTATAAGGAGTAGAACTAAGGTTATGTTGAGAAGTAAATCCCAACAGGCTACGATATAAGAACCTGCCGAGGAAAAATGGATCAACAGACAGCTTGAACAAACCACTCGCTGATCAACGGAAAGGCCAAGGGTGACCAGGGTCCGCACGGCGCTCACCTTGGCCTCCGAGCCGCGGTGCCTCTCCCACTCGCAGCAGCTGTAGTGGTCCGTCTTCCACTGCTGGCACGAAGGGGCCCGTCCGAAGGTGTAGTAGTGGTGCAGGCGGTTCATCAGGCTCCTGCAGTGCCTGTATTCGCTCAAGTAGTCGGCGCAGGACCGGGGAGGCTGCAGGCGAAGCACATGGAGGTGAAACT